CTCAAAAGATCCGCGCTCCTCTGTCGCCTCAGACTAAACTGTCCGGCGAGTTCTCGCCACCCTGTCCACTCCTTGGCGCGCCCGGGGCGCACCAGCTCCGGGGTGCAGCGGATCTGGGACTCTCGATTCCGTGCCGCTAGGCGCCGCTGCACTCACACCGAACGCGGCCAAGCAAGCGGCCTTTGGGGAGGCCCCCAGAGAGGGAGTTGCGATGTATTTTCAAAAATGCTTTCAAAGCACTAATTCTACCTTTTCGCGGACACCTCTTTCCTAACCCAGCTGCTGCCTTCGTTCTTTCAAGAGAGGCCGAGGTAGTCCCCAATTACAATAGGGAGCGTAGGGACTCTTATCCAGGGTTTTGGGACATCTTTTGCGCGTCTGGAAGCCAGGGAAAGGGTTCGTGGGTCCCTTGCACCTTCTCTCCGCTAAGGTGCAACCCTGCACGACCCGGATGCAGCGGAGTGCAGCAGGCGGGTTAGGATCACGCAAGGCCGTGGTGGCATTACTCTGTGAACCCTTTCCACGCGTCGTAAAGTTGTTTTCCCCTTCTCACAGCTGAGAAGAGGCACCCACCCAGCCTGAGTTGCAGGAATGTTGGACCACCGGCTCCCGCACTCCACTGACCCCACAGGCCTAGCCTGAAACTGCCTAGGAAGGGTTGCTGCCTTGCGGAAAATACGGAAGGGAGAAGGAGGAGGGGGGTGGCAGAAGGTTATTCCAGAGGGGCCAGGAATCCAGGCCTCATCCAGGCCTCCTGTGCCCCCAACACAGGAAGTTTCTGGCCTTTGGAGAGATGAGGGAAGGCACGCAGAAGCGAGCCGGAGGCTCAGCTCGGGTGAGCCCAGCGTAAGCTCAGGTATCTGACAACTGTATAGCTCAGTCTGCGGAGGTCAGCCTTAGGTCTGGAGGGGAACAGGAAATAGCGAGAGGCCGGGGGTCAGGAGCTGCTGCCAAGGTTTGGTATGCAACGGGTGTACCAGATGCTCTCTGAATACTTTCGCGTGGAGCAATCCCAAAGGACCAAGGTACTGTCACATGTACCTATTTCAGAACAGGTAGAGGCACAGAGAGGGCCAGTGGCTTGCTGCAGGTCACACAGCCCACCTGTGAATGGGGAGGAACAAGGCCACACGGGGCAATCCAGCCTTTGCAGTGCGTGTAGTACGGAGATTTGAACAATGCAGCCAACTGTATAAGTGGGCAACGAGAAGGTCAGGAGTGGCTGCACTGGTGTTGCCTAAAGTCGTTAAGTGACATCCAGGATTTAAACCTCCGCAGGTGTCTGCACCGAAGGCAGAGTAGCCACTGGATGGCTTGTTTCCCACCGCACACACGGGATTCCTAATCAGACCCGGACAACATAAGCCCGGACTGCTTCTGCGAGGCACCTTGTGAGCGTGGCGGTGGGCTAGGAAGGAGCTCCTAGGCTCTGCCCGCCCCTTATGGTTAATCAGTTACTTTTCTGGTTAATTCCCTTGCACACTGGGGGCGAAGGGAGCCTTCCTGAGCTCCTCTGGTCTGGGCGCATGTATTAGCATAGATCACCAAGATTCCAACCGCACCGCCCCAGCTCAACGGAAACCCTCATCCTGCCTGCCCCCCAACAGGGGCAAGGGCAGGGCTGGGACTCCGGGTGATGAGGGTGGGGAGCTTAGGACCAAGAAACTGGTTCTTCAGCTCGCCCTCACCCTCGGCCCACCTGCGGCCATCCAGGGCCCTTGAAGGAAGATTTGCCTCAGGCTGGCGAGCTGCCCTGGGTGACAGTGGGGTCTTGGGGCAGATGTCACCTGCCACCACCAAGGGGCTGGAGGGCCAGGTCTGCAGTTTGTCACTGATTTCCAGTGGACTCACCTTGGTGCTGGGAGTGGGGGGACGGTAAAAGGGAGGAATCACTCCCCAGACCCTACCCAACTGGTCAGACTGTTCCCCTAGCCCTCAAGTTCAGCGACTTGTACCTATGGCTAAGATCCTAAGGTCGGCCGGGCAGTGGACGACCATTGCCTACTCCATAGCCCCACAGCCCAGCCTGGGCTTTCACCAGCCCGCTCTGGGACTCCAGAGTCTTAAACCAAATGCAGAAGGCCTGGCTTAGAGGAAGAGGCAGGGTTCTTGCCGCACAGTCCTTCCCTAGAGAATCACTGGGGGAAGGGCAAACATGGCCTCTCGCCCCAGGATCCAGGATTCACCTACTGCTTAAACTGGGTGCTCATTCCAGTGGTCAGAAACCAGAGGGCTGACCCCACCTCCACTCAGGGCTGACAGCCAGAAGTGGACCACCTTTCAACATGGCTTCAGGCTCCCTGCTGCTGTAAGCGTGAGGGAGGAATTTTCCTGGAGGACTGAGGTGTGTGGGGTAGTGTGTGTGTGTGTGTGTGTGTGTGTGTGTGTGTGTGCGTGCACGTGCATCATCGGGTCTGGGGAGTAGGGGAAGATAGAGGGGCCTCCAGGAACCCAGCCAGGACCTAGGCAGGAGTCGGGGTCCAAGCCTAGTGAAGCCAGGAGGGCAGGGACTTCTGTCTCTCCAAGGGCAACACAGGCACACAGATGCTTCATGTGTCTCTGTATATGTCTTCATGTCTGCCCATCTTTGTGTGTCTTTGCATGTACCCACAAATGCTGGGACGGTTGAGAGAAGAAACAAAAACAAGAATGTTCCCCCCCAGAGCTCCCCACTAATGCTTTGGGGATCCCCCATCAACCCCAGAGAACTCTCCTCTTTGCTCTTGTACCTAGAAGAGCTCCTGGGGGGGGGGGGGGCACTGTACCTGCCCCTCACACACTACTGCGCCTGAAATAGAAATGGACACACCGGAGCCCACAGCGGGTGAAATGGGGCAGGCAGAGGGGGACGAAGGGCAGGGGCTACCTGGGGTATGTGGGGCGTCAGCCCAGCTCCCTCACGCTCCCTCCACACACACTCCAGGGTCTTACACAGCCTCGAGACCAAACCTAGGTGTTTCTTTTTGGTCCTGAAGATAAATGACAAGGGCCTGGGAGTAATAGATTTAAAGGACATCAGGTTTTTTTTTTTTTTTAAATCATTAATTGTAAACGTCCAGCGTACCTGCTGGTACTTCACTTTAGAAGAATGTAATTGGCAAAACGGGGGGGGGGGGAAGAGGGGGCTGATAAATAGATAATAGATCTTTAACCACCAATAAACAGAGAGCAGCGCCAGGAGCCTGGGGGATGTGATCATAATTATGCCGCCCAGCGAGCCAATGGGGACGAGCGAACTCGGTCCTAAAATCATCCCCAAACCGGTGGCGAGTTCGAAAACGCGGACACGGCACAGCACGGGAGATGCAATCCGCAGTCCCCACTAAGGAGCCCTGAGTTTGCGCTGCAACCCAACCCCGGGACAACAGATGGCGGAGTCCTAACAGAAATAATAATAACAACAATACCAAGAGAGTCGCACGGGCGACCGCAATAACAGCACGAACAGTCAAAACACGACTGCATCAGCCCTTGCCCTCACCTGGGGACCGCCCCACCCTGGCCCCGGAGAACCCCCTAAGGAACTGTTCCGGGACAGGCAGTGCGCACCCCCACCCAAGGCAGAAAATGCGAGAGCTGGTCCGGAGGGCGCGGGTCGCACACCTATCGTCCAGCGTAGTTGCCGACTCGGGCCCTAACTTGCAGACATGCTGGACCTTGTATCGCGAGTGCACAGACTCCGGGCCCTTCAGGCAGCGCCTGGTTGGACGGGTGGAAGGACACCCTCCCTTTCGCTTAGGAAACCCCCGGGAGCTCGGTTGGGTGGTGCTTGGTGTCCCAGAACGGCGCCTTCAGCCCTCACGGGGAGCCAGTCCCCACCCGCTTACCCTCGCGATGCTCCGGGCGATCCCAGATCCCCGACTCGGGGTGACGCGGGGCAGTAGCAGCTAAGCGCTGGGCGCGAGGATTCTTCCCGTTGGTCTGTCCGTCTATCCTACCAGCGCGGGCGCAGTTGGCTCGGGATCCAGGAGGCTGCAGTTGGGGCGGCGCCGGCCCGGGACGCGGCAGGGACCCTGGTTCCCTGGAGGGAGTGGAGGTGGAGGTGGTAGAGGTGGTGGCGGCAGTGGTGGTGGTGGAGGAGGAAGAGGAGGAGGAGAAGGAGGAGGAGGAGGAAGGGGAGGAGGAGAAGGTTGAAGAGGAGGAGGTGGGGAGAGAGGAGAAAGAGGAAGAGGAGGAGGAAGAGTAGAGGAAATCAGAGGAAGAGGAGGAGGCGAAAGAGGAGAGGCCGCAGCTGGCGCCGCGGGAACGAGTGAGCTGGGAGCGCGGGACTAGGGCGCGGAGAGGTCGGGAGGGAGGCTGGAGGCTCGGCCCGGGCGGCGGCGCCGACTCCGTTCCACTCTGGGCCCGGATCCAGGCCTCCGGGTTCCCAGGCGCTCGCCTCCCTCTGACGCACTTTAAAGAGTCTCCCCCCTTCCACCTCGGGGCGAGTAATAGCGACCAATCATCAAGCCATTTACCAGGCTTCGGAGGAAGCTGTTTATGTGATCCCCGCACTAATTAGGCTCATGAACTAACAAATCGTTTGCACAACTTGTGAAGAAGCGAACACTTCCATGGATTGTCCTTGGATTTAGGGCGCCCTGCCCGCCTTTTGCAGAGCACAGAAAACTTTTTTTTTCTCTTGCCTCCCCCAAGAAACTTTACCCCCCCCTTCTCTGCTTCTAACTCCGATCCCCCCACGCCATCTCGCCAAAAAAAAAAAAAAAAAAACCCACCCCAATCCACGCCTGCAAATTCTTCTGGAAGGATTTTTCCCCCCTCTCTCCAGGTTGGGCGCGTTTGGTGCAAGATTCTCGGGCTCCTCGGCGTTGCCTCTCCCTCCCCTCCCCCTCCTTTCCTTTTTCCTTTCCTTTCTTTCTTCCTTTCCTCCCCCCCACCCCACCCCCAAACAAACGAGTCCCCAATTCTCGCCGGTCCTCGCCGCGGGCAGCGGGCGGCGGAGGCAGCGCGCCGCGGTCGCCCGGAGCTGGAAGCCCGGGGCGCCGGCTCCTCGGCGCAGCATGTTCCAGCCGGCGCCCAAGCGCTGCTTCACCATCGAATCGCTGGTGGCCAAGGACAGTCCCCTGCCCGCCTCGCGATCGGAGGACCCCATTCGTCCCGCGGCACTCAGCTACGCCAACTCCAGCCCCATAAATCCGTTCCTCAACGGCTTCCACTCGGCCGCCGCCGCCGCTGCCGGCAGGGGCGTCTACTCCAACCCGGACTTGGTGTTCGCCGAGGCGGTCTCGCACCCACCCAACCCCGCCGTGCCGGTGCACCCGGTGCCGCCACCGCACGCCCTGGCCGCCCACCCCCTGCCCTCCTCGCACTCGCCACACCCCCTGTTCGCCTCGCAACAGCGGGACCCGTCCACCTTCTACCCCTGGCTCATCCACCGCTACCGATATCTGGGTCACCGCTTCCAAGGTACGTGCCAGCTCGCGGGGACTTGCTGCGCGCGGCACCCGCCGCATCCTTTTCGGTCCCCAGCCTGTTGGAGGTGGGCACTGGGCGAGGCCTGAGCCGAAGCTGCTCCCCTGGCTCGCTCGCGAGGCCCAAGTGCTCGCTTCGGAAATTGGGCGGCGTGGGACCGCTGGTGTAGGCTAGCTCCCCACCCTCCGAGGCTGCGGCCGATTTGCAGTGCAATCTTGCCCGCCGTGGGGTCCCCTCGTAAGGGGCGCTGCCGGAGAAGTTTGCGGGAGTGCGCTCTGGTCCCGACCGGTGGAGATAGTCGGGCCCTGCGCGTCCACCGCCCGGAAGCCGAGAGCCCGCGGGGTCCTCTCGGCGACTCACCCGCAGGTCCCGGCTCCGAGGAGTGTGCGGGGAGGTTCCAGCCACCAAGCTCGCCTTGGACTGGGATGTTCCCTGGGCGCTTCCTTCAGCCCAGACCTGCGACTTTCTGGTTTGGCACAGTCTCTCGTGCCCCCGGAGCGAAGCACCGAATTTTTCTTCTTCTGCATTTTGGAGACGAGGAGGCGCGTGGGGAAAGCCTGCTGGGCCTGGCTCCCTCGCAGAGATCCGCTGCTTTGGGAGAGGGGCACCGAGCGGCCGCAACGGGAAAGCGGGTTCGGTTTTTGAGTATTTATTTTATGAGAAACGGACCGGATTGGAGATGGTCTGGGAGGGAGGAAAAAGACCTGCTTGTTTGCATCTTTTCTTTTTTTGTTTTTAAAAACAAAATTGGTTTTCTCTGGGTTAGGGGGATGGCGAAAAAGTTACAGCTGAGCGACAAAAGGGGGCGGGTAAGTAGTTTCGGGTTCGGAATGGGTGAAAGTCCTTTCTAGGTCGGTCTCGGTCAGCAAGGGTCAATATTGGGCAGGCTATCCGTCCATTAACCCTTGCGTTGCTGCCAGACCGAGTGGGGAGTTGTCACCCCTGTCCCATAATTAAGACCCCCCCCACAAAGCCCCACACCAAAACTCCCCCCTTCCCTTACTCCCAGATGGGATTTGCCTCCATCACCACCTGGGCTGTCAGCTTGTTGTTCTTTGTTTGTGCTTACAGAGGCTCGCTTTCCTACCCAAAGAAGCGAACCTGAAACTCTTGCCCTTGCTTGCAAAGTTTGGGGCGCCCCTTCCTCATTCTGTGACAGCCGAGGGTTCCGTCTCTGCACAGGAGCCGCCTTGGTCGGCAGCTTCCAGGGCCGCAGAAGATTGGAGACCCCCGGGTTTCGATGCCTTGGCTGGCATCTTTTGAGTTCTCTGGAGCCGGGTCCTCTCGAGGACGCAGCGGCGAACCGCACAGCCGCCAAAGGCGTTTTCGTCCAGGTCGTACTGCAACGACCCGCCCGGCTCTGGGACTGGCCGGAGGATGCGATGGGGTAGGGTAGCTCAGGAAACAATTTTTCATTAAGTCCACCAACTCAGCACAGCGTGTCCCACCGCCTCCCCACCTGTGGCCAGGGTTCCGCGGGAAGCTACCCAGAAGACAAGAGCGGGTTTTTGGGGGGCGGGGATGGTACTGGATATTTATCCCCCAGCCTGGCTCAGACCCTCTCTCTTCTTTCTTGGGCCCCGGATGGGGAAGGTGGCCAGGTCTGCGGTGCTAGGACGGCTTCCCTGCCCGCCGAGGTCAGGAGCTTGAGAACTGGCCCGGCCGGTGCAGTAGCTAGCTGGGTGTCTCCAGGTGCCGTCCTGGTGGTTCCAGCCAAGGGGCTGAGGCTGCGACCCCTTCGCCAGCCTCGGGAGGGCCACTGGCCCCTGCCGGTCGCGTGGCGCGGGCAATGTGGACGTGCAGAGAGCTGAGCCACGGCAGCCCGTCTCCGGAGAAGCGTGCTCTGGCCAGAGACCCTCCCCCCAACAGGACTTCTGTTGTCCCCCTGCAGGGAACGACACTAGCCCTGAAAGTTTCCTCTTGCACAACGCGCTAGCCCGAAAGCCGAAGAGGATCCGGACCGCCTTCTCCCCATCCCAGCTTCTAAGGCTGGAACACGCCTTCGAGAAGAATCACTACGTGGTGGGCGCCGAAAGGAAGCAGCTGGCGCACAGCCTCAGCCTCACGGAAACTCAGGTGGGTGCGGTCCAGATGCCACGGTCCCGGCAGGCGGAAGCCCCCTGCTTCAAATCTACTGGCCAGTGCAGCTGGCCCCCAGCATCCGAACAAGCACGCAGCCCTACGAGGGCCTTCGGCAAAGGGCCGGGTAGCTGGATCCACGCTTGCCCTCTGGTTTTCTAAGTTTGGAGGTCTTTGAGGGCAGTGCCAGGGCCACGCCACGTCGCCCAAGTTGTGCAGGAAGCCCCGACTCGCTTCATCAGCTCGGCCGGGCTGGCTCCATAGCGCCCGGCCTAGAACTTCTGCACTTTAATGCAAAGGACCTTGTGGTGAGAGGCATGGGTTCGAAGGCAGAATGCATACCAGGGCAGCCCCGCATTGGCGGCCGAGGCAGAGCAAGCAGTCAACTAAGGGTTCTGAGCGCCTGGAGGCCCTTAAGGGAATGGGAGAATCTGACGGTGCGGAGGCTGGGCATCCGCGGCGCAGCCGAAATCCGAGAAATAAAACTGGAAGGCTGCAGAAAGGGCCTGCTGAGGGGAGGGGAGCAGCTTCCCGCGCAGCAGGTCCCCAGCGGGCGGGCATGGGCTGGAACCCGGGGCGGGAAGGAGGCGCAGGGTACAGTAGACGCTACTGTATGCAGAGCTGCTGGCGGGGTCAGAGTTCCCAGAAAACAGTAATGTCTTCAGGCAGATTAAGTTGTAACTTCGCCCCTTCTACCCGGGAAGCGCAAAATGTCCAGGCTTTTAAGATATCCCCGTTTTCCTTCCCGCCCCGGATGGGACCGATCTGGGCCTGAGTTTGCTCGGGGCCCCGCGGCAGGCGCGGACGGATTGGTGTCTCCCGGAGCCGTCGGGGTGGTGGTGGTGGTGGTGGCGGTGGTCTTTGTCCCCCTCGCTGCCCAAGCTGCCCCGGAGCTTTTGTGTGCGTGTCAAGCCCTGAGCGCGCCGACGCGCGCCTTGGGCGAGCGCCGGGGAGAAATGAACCATCCTCCTCCTCAATTAGCAAACTCAAAGCAAATTAAGCTCAGCCTTGTCCCTGCGCGGCTTTTGCAAGGAGCACTTTGGGGGGATTGGTGTCTGCCGGAACTTTTAAAGGAACGAGTAGAGTGAACTGGATCTCAGGGGCTGAAAAATGAAGGAGAGATGGGTGTGTGTTGTTGGGGCGTCAGTTTGGGAAACGCACCCAGTTCTGTCCCCCTCACCCACCCTGGGACCCGTCCTCTACTTTGTGGTCGCTGATTGGAGACCCACAATCCATCACCAGGGGTCCAACAAACACCTATCTCACTGTCCCCAGACCAGATACCCGAGCTTAAGCAGACCCTGCATCTCCACTCGGGGCCAGCCTAGGAGAGGAGGCGCTGTCTGTAGGCAATGCTACCCAGATGTCCGGAAAATGGAAAGCACGTTGGGCCAGGTGGGAAGCAGCAGCAGCCGGCTAGAGGTCTGCCTGGCATCACTTGCTGGGCTGGGTTAGGACCGGTTTTCTCTTTTTTTCTCCTTAACTTGTTGCTCTAGTAGGGGGTTCCCCCAGTCTTGCCAGACTTCGGCTTCTCAGCAGGATATGTGCGTCCTGGATAGGCCTTTCCAAAAACTCATGCTGGGCCCTAGAGCCCTGGAAATCCTAGGTGAGACTCCCCAAAAGGGCCCAGAAGGAAAGGCAGCTCCTCCTCTACCCAGAAATGGCCGTTAGGCTGTGCAGTCAGGACAAGGGGCCAGGGCCAAGGCAGGGTCCTTGGGGAAGAACCTCATGGCATGGTCTGCCCGTGTTCTGCTTGCAGGTCAAAGTATGGTTTCAGAATCGGAGGACGAAGTTCAAAAGGCAGAAACTGGAGGAAGAAGGCTCAGATTCTCAGCAAAAGAAAAAAGGGACACACCACATTAACCGGTGGAGGATCGCCACCAAGCAGGCGAGTCCGGAGGAAATAGATGTGACCTCGGACGATTGAAAACCCAAACCAAACCCCACGGAAATGGACGACAGGGAATGGAAGGGAAGAACGAAAACCCTACAAGACAAAACAAAACAAAACAAAACAAAAAACAAAACACACACGTTCATCGGGAAAGGGAGAGGGGCTGGACAAGCACCCAGGCACTTCGCAGACTCCGGACCGCGAGGTCGCTGGGTCCCTAATCCTCGGCGAGGCCGTGCTGAGATGGCAGAGGATGGAGTCTCCTTCATCAACATGCGACCCTCGTCTAAAGAGGCAGCTGAGTGAGTGAGTGAGTGAGAGAGACAGAGAGACGGGGTGGGTAGGGGGGTGGAAGAGAGAGAAAGAGAGAGAAAGAAAGAGAGAGATCCGAATGTGGCAAAGCTGAATGCTCTGACTCGGGGTAGTTGTCAGTCAAATGCCAAACCAGTGAGACAAGATGATTGGCAGGTATTCCGTTTATTGCAGTCTACTTAAAAAAAATGACGAAAATGACGATAGTAATGGTAAAAGCAAATAAACAACCCAGCCAGGCACAGGACTTTTTGTTTTGCACTTGGCAGTGTTGTCTCCCCAATTTAAAAAAAAAAAAATTAGTAATAACAAGCAAAATTCCATAGCTGACCCCATCCTACACCTGTTTCAAAAACTTGAATTGCATGTAGCAGTTGTTGGGCGAATGGTGTCTAAAGACAAAATGGATTGTAATTTTGTTTCCTTTTAAAGACAGGTTCTGTGTGCTTCTTATTTTGATTTTCTTTCTGAGAAATGTGCAGTCTGTAAACACTTTTTGATACCTTCTGATGTCCAAGTGATTGTGCAAGCTAAACGAAGTAGGCTCAGCGATAGTGATCCTCTTCCAGAGAGAGAGAGCGAGGTGGGGAGCGGGTCAGGGGGTTAGGGTGGCAGGGGAGGGTGCCCTGAGAGTCAGGACTTGTGCCGGAATAAACAAAATCTAAATTCTGTTTCTTGGACATTCCCTTTCCTAACATCCTGAGGCTAAACACCCCGAAGTAAACTCGTTTTAGTGGTTGGAGAAATTGGCAGAGTTCAACCATTCATCGCCGTGGCCATTCCGAATTGTATTGCAAAAACCGGAGGACTGTAGGTAGAGGCGGCAACAAGTTTTCAAGCACTGAGTTCCTATTCTGAGGTCATAGACTTACTAAAGAGTGACAAATGCTTCCTTAATGTCTTCTATACCAGAATGTAAATATTTTTGTGTTTTGTGTTAATTTGTTAGAATTCTAACACACTATATACTTCCAAGAAGTATGTCAATGTCAATATTTTGTCAATAAAGATTTATCAATATGCCCTCAGAGTAGTTGTCTTGGGAAACTGAGATGGATTTTTTTTAAAGAGTATTCTATCATTTGGATATGATTCTTCCCAGACTAAGCTTAAGAAACTCTACCCCTTACCCACCCCCAAAATGACCAGACTGGATTCTTGGGTGTTTTAAGAGAGAGGAGGGTGGAGAAGGAAGGGAGTTAGGACTAGTCCTTTATAAAACAGAAGGGAGGAAAGTTTTGGTTTTGTAGCCAGACCTTTGCCCACGGTTTGCCCTACAGAAGGCGTTTCCTTTGAACTTTAGGTTTAAAATGCTTATTTGTCTCTTAACCTCTGTTGTTTTTTTCATCTGGAACTATGGTTATGTCTTGAGGAATATTTCTTGCCCCCTCCCTGCCCCAGTTGAAGAAAACAGTAGAATCAGAATCCTGGGACCTTCTAAACTTTGTTGTTGACTTCAAACCTCAAAATACAACTCACCCCTCTTCTCTCTGCCCCGTTCCTAATCTCTCTCTTTCTCTCTCTCTCTCTCTCTGCTCCATCTTCTTCTGTAGGTGATGGGACGAATCCCAGTGCCCAGCAGCCTTATAAGGCAAGCTTTCTGAGAAACCCTCAAGTCTGAATTTTAATGTTAAAGAAAAAGTTGTAACCGGTCCTGGAGGCAACTTTGCTTTCTTTGCTCCTCCTTCCCCCTTTTGGGGGTATGAGGTTGTTTTTGCATGCTTCATTTGCTTCTTATCCTGATAGGCCGCATTAATCAGTTTTATTTCCATTGATAGAGAAACCTCGTCTGTTCGGTCCAGCTACAAAGCGTCCTGCAAGCTTTTGTGAAAGTGCAAATCAGTTTAAGCAATTATCATACCAGGAATATGAAGGGGAAAGAGGAGGCCTTGCCCAGTGGTCTCCTTTAATCTCTTAATCCACAGATCCAGGGGGGCTGCCTGGACATAATTTAGGACAATCTCCCCACCCTTTACACTGTGATAAGGCCAAGTTACAATGCAGGGCAAAAATACAAGCTTTGTTAGCATCCTGCCTTGAAAAGTTAAGATTAGACATTCTGTGCACGTGTGGGGACTATAGGGCACTATGGAAATTTTTTTCTTTCTTGTTTTCCTGCCCTCCTCTAATGTAGAATTCATTCTCTGTCTCTCTCCCTCTCCTCCCCCATTGCTGCCTCTCTGCCCCTCTTCCTCCCAGTCCCTGTCCCTCTGCAGACCCTACCAACTCCCAGCGCATTTTCATGCAAACCCCTCTAGAAGGTGTGAGGTGTGTGTTTTGTGGGGGGACGCTCTGCTTCAGGGCAAGAGTGGCTGGCCCTTGAGGAGACCCAAGTCTGTCTCCCACAGTGACAGGTGCTTGGGCCAGGTGCCCCAAACCTTCAGCCGCCTCTGCAGCAGCACAAGCCCCAGTGGCTGCTAGCTACCCTGTAGTCTCTGCATAGCCCTTTCCTTTGCTTACCCAAGTCTGCCTACCCAAGTCCAAGTCACCTTTTCTTTCCAACATCTTTCACAGCCCCAAATGCTTGCACTTGGAAACCTGTCCCAATACAATTTGGACTGGCTTTTCCAGGGGAAAAATGATCTTGATATAAGCCTAACTTCTGTAGGAACCATATATATTTTTAAACTTCCCCTTCAAACACAAGAAAAGAGGGGGAGGTGATGAGGAATTTTGGGGGGAAGTAAATGTCCTATGTAGTGTAACAGCAATAAAATCATCAGAGAATACTATCAGCTTTGAGGAAAAAAAAAAAACTAAAAGCTTTATTACAAACCAAGCTTTGAAAATCGGGGGGATTAGGCGGCTGAAAGGGTCCCACAATGGTAAGAAGAAAAGGTTTCATGCTAATGAGGTTAATGCCCTTTGTATCTCAGGCCTCCACATCTTCATTACGCGCTATCTCGGGCTGCACCGCGGCTCAGAGCGCTGCAATCCACTCCAACGCCCCCCTTCCCGGCCCAAAGAAGGATTTGATACCAGCTCTGTTCAAACTAGATAATTATATCTTTTCAAGTCGGAATTAAGATAAAGAAAGTGAAGCAGAGGCGGCTCGCCTTGATCCACTGCAAACAAATTTGGCGCACTTTCGAGTCCTTCCCCCGCCTCAAAAAGGCCGGACGGTCAGCTTATTAGCCGCTCGTTTGCTTTATTAATTCATCTATTTAAAGTGGCAGGATTAGAGCGTCTAATGTGCACGCGGGCTGCCATGGTGCCGAGGAATATAAATATTTGCGAGATGCCATCCCACGATGACTATCTGGGTGTGGGGCGCGCGGGCCACGGTGCGCGGGACGCGTGTGCCCCGCGGCTTCGTCCCTGGGCGCGCGCGTTTACTAGGCTGGAGTGCTCCAGGCAGGGCTTTGTGGGAGCCGCGTGCCCCCTCGCGTCACATGGCTGTCAAGCCTGGGTGCCCCTGGCAGTGGGGACATACCGGTCAGACTGCGTCCCTCTCAGCACACGACGCACTGAACGCAATGCGTCCTGCCCGTGACCCAGGATAGGGCGGCAGATTTAGAGTTTGATCCGCCTTGAGGCTCCACTTCCGCGCTTTCTCCGTGTTTACCCCTCACCGCCCCCCCCCCCCCGCACACCCCCATTCCAGGCAAAGTCAGCGCCCTGGGAAGGAGAGTTTGCGTCGCTCAGAGCTGGTTTTAAGGGGTAACGATGCGCAGGAGTGCCGTGGTTACGGCTCCCCTCCCGAGCACACAAGGATTCCTGGTGCGTTTCTCCACCGGGACCCTGCGTCTACACGAAGGCGCCGGAAACTCAGGCGGTGCGAGCAGGCTCTCCCGATAGCTGCTCCCTCCTGCCCCTGCCTCTGGGTATCGGGTGCTGTCACCCCCCCCCCCCAAGGGCTGCCCAGCCAAGCCAGAGCGGGCGCGTTGGCTGTTCCGGGGAACCTGCCGGGCCACTTTTGTGCGAGGGGCGGATTGTGGCAGTCGGAGAGAGGCGCGCCAAGCAGGCCTGGCAGAAAGAGAGCTCGGGCCTGCGCGCGGCTTTGAAACGCCGGCTCCAGCCGTTCTCCGCCTCAAGTCGCTGCAAACAAAGTCACGGATCCGCAAGCCGGTTGGGGAGGGACTCTGGTGGTTCGAAGGCCGGGTACCTGCGGGGCCGTCCCTTTTTGGCAAGGGTGGAGGTGGGTGGGGGGTTGAGCCAGGCTACCCCCGAGTGGGCAGCTGCAAGTTGGTGTCGGGTGCGGGTCAGCGAATATGTGTGTGAACCCGGGTGAGCGCAACGGTTCTCGGTAGTTGCTTGTGTGCATCGAGCTGTCACAGTGGTTCTCAGCCAGGGCTTCGGGACTGTGTGTTTGCTCCGAAGCTGAGCGACCGCTGTGCCTTGCACAGACTGCGCAGGTTAAGCTGTCCTCTCGCTCTGTTAGGGCACCGTGATTGTTTTTTTGCGTTAAAGGCAAGAACTTGCAGTTGCGAGGCTGTGCAGGAGTGCCCAGCAGGATGTGGAAATGCGGCCCAGGAAGTACTTGTGTGTGCTAGGCTGTGTCCGCCAGCTCAGTTACCCGTCTCAGAGGATGGGGGTGGCCCGCTGTTACGTGGCCTGTGAGGGGGCACTAATGTGTGAGCGGTTCCTGTGATGTGCGTCCGGGCCAACACTGCGGTGGCATGTGTGTGGTTTGGGATCAGGGCGCACCTGTGTCTAGCGAGGATGCTGGCGTTGGTGTGGTGTCCCGCGAGCGCCAACGCCAGCCGCGGAGTTGGGCAAAC